TTTAACTAAAAAATCAATTAAAAAAAAAAGTGTGATAGTACAATAATAATACTGATAATACCGATGGTGTTGGAAAATTAATATCGGAAATGGCAGCTAAACGATATTTTAATGTAAACAATTGCAATTGGCTCATTTCTAGTTCATCGTTTAAATCATGAGCTAATTCACAGTCTGGTTGTAATGATCCAAGTGAACGGACAAGCTTAAAGAAAAAAAAATGATAAAATAAAACATTTTCACTTTCTTTTTAATAGAAAAATATTTAATTGAAATGTTTTTTTCCAAAATTTGTACTACTTGAAATCAAAAATCGAAAATTTTAAATGCAAATTAATAAATCAAAAAATAATTGCCAGAAAATTTGCATTATTTAAGCATTAAATTTTTAAATGTAAAATTTTTTTCAAATTATCACATTATATAATGTTTATTCTTTGCGTTTTTTTTTTTAATTTGTTGGATAAATGTAAAAAAAAAAACGAAAAAAAGTCCATATCGGAAGAGATTTTTAATTTCCTAACAAAAGTACTTAGATACCGAAAGAAATTCTTTTAATGATTAAATCGAATTCTTTTAAAAATTAAATTTAAACAATTTTTTCTTTTTTCATGTATAAAAATGTATATTGTAAACAAACATTTTTATTCTTGTTTAAATTTATCTTCCCTTTCTTTCTTTCTTCCTTTTTTTTTTTTTGAAGAAAAATTGTAAGACAAAAAGATATATTAATTTTTTTCTTTCTTTTGAAATTGAAATAGTTTTTGGTTTCTCTTTCATACAATGATTAATGTTTTACATCGCATCCTTCATGGTATCAATTCCTCTTTCCCTTCTTTTTCTCTTTTTTTTTCCTTTCCAACAAATTTCTTTTCTTTTCTTTTCTTTTTTATTGAACCTTTAATTGTGACTTATTTATTTTTTGTTTATTCTGTTTATTACTTTTTAAAGCAATAACAAAAAGAAAAGAGAAAAGAGAGGGAAATTCAACTAAACAATGATATTCATAAAAAAAAAAAAACATATTAATGATTTTTTCTTAGAAAAAAAGGAAAATTATTCTTTCTTTTAGTTTTAAATTATATTAAAATGTTTGAAATTAAATAAAATACAAAAGTTGATGTAATTTAATAATGACTGCTCAAAAAATAAGTTATAAGGATGATGACAATAATAACGAATAGTTAAGTTAGCAATAAAGTCATATCAAAATTTTTAAGATTAACAATATGCAAAAGAAAAGAAATGGATTCATAAGATTTGAATTATATTAAAAAGTTTAAATTGAATGTTAAGAAATGATAACTAACAAATTTTAGGCAATAAATAGAATAAATTAGTCAAATATTACCACGAAAAAAGTTACTTTTGCTAATAATAAATTTCAAAATTTCAATTTATTTTGAAATATGATTGAGAGAGAATATATAGTAATTATTGCTTTTTAAAAAATAAATTCAATCTTATTAATAAAATAAAAATAGGCGGAAATTCCTTTAAATCTTCTTTTTTCTTCACAAATTCAAGGAATTATTGCCCCACTCCATTAATCTATCCAGGAAATTTGATATGAGAAACTATCTGCGTAGAAATGGAATAAAGTAAACAAATAGAAAAGATATTCGAACTAAATTTAAAGTTAAAAGATCACAACGCCTAATATAATATAGTGGTTTGTCAACATTGAAATAAATCTAATGATAAGTGATATGAGTGATATCAGCAAATACACTGATATCAGTAGCATTTATATCTTCCATTATTATTATTTTTTATAATTATACTGCATAATATGCTGTATATTTGTGCTATAAATAAGTAATTACTTCAATTTGCTGCTTTCGATAGTATCGTTATTTAAATTATAATTATAGCAATAATTGTAAATTAATTATATAACATCAATCAACAAATGTTACAACTAAGGTCTTTGATATGATAAGCTTAATATTATTGCTAAAGAGTAAATGATTATTAATAAATAATAAAAAACACCAAAAAAAAGTGTGTATAATGAATAATAGTTTGATAATAAATTAAAGTAACAAAATTATTGATAAGCATACAATATAATGCATGTTAACAAATTGATAAATATGGAAAATGATATTTGTTTAATTCTATTGAATATTATAATTAGTGATATTTGATAATTTTAATCGATTAAATAATTATTAAAATAAAAGATTAAGTAATAAAGAGTGAAATATACCGAATTAATAGTTTCATTTACTTTCGCAATTTCTTTTTGTAAATGATAAGTAGCACTGGAAATATTAGTGGTAGTAGATTGTAGGAAAGATGAAATTGTCAATAGTTTAATTAATAGAAAGCGCAAAGTTCGCGAATTGGAACATTCGATAGCAAAGGCACCAGTTGGCTCAGATATATACAAGCGTTCTTTTATTTCACCGACAACCATAACACTTTCTAACTGAAATTATCATTATGATAAAAAATTTTATATGTGCAAAATATTTTTACATAAACATTTATTGTAGTTAGCAAAATTTTAATTAGTATTTACAGTGAATTATAAAAATTTTGACCAACAATTTATATTTTAATTATTCATAAGTTAACTGTAAAATAATAAATATCCAATATAATAATATTGCAACATTTGCAACTGCAAAATAATAAATTAATATAATTAATAGTTTAAATTATTTATGAAATGGATAATTTTTCATACCAAATATTTGCTCATTAGCTGTTTCTATTATATGCAAATTCATTCTTTCTTTTTTTTTTTTTCGATTTTCTTCTAAATGAAACGATTATTGAAGGAAATGATAATAGGAAGTGATGATATATGAATATATTAACCAGTTGTGATCATTAATTGACCAACAAATATGAGAATAAATATAGATGGAAAAAAAGATATGTAAATTAGAAGAAAGAATTGTGAATATACTAATACTATACAATATTAAATATGCTGTTCCTCTGAAAATTCAACTTAAAAAAAAAAAATAAAATTGAAATTAGTTTCATTAGAAACTTTACTGAATATTTTGACAAATTTGGAATTATTCGAAAAGATATGTGAAATAATTTATGGAATGATTTTTATGCAAAGTTTAAGAAATTTGATATTACTAAGCATCATCATCGCTTTGACAGCAATTGTTAGTTTATGTCAACAGAATTTGTAAAATTTACTAAAATTTTGCTGAAATATCTCAATTTTAATAATTTTACTTTCATAAATAAACCATTTGTGATAACATTTACGTTTGATGTGAATTTCATTTCTTTCTAATTATATTACCTAATCAGTATGAATGTTTTACTGTAATGTTCTCATATTTTCATGAAATATATAATTACTAAATTACCAACACAGAAATGAAATTCCTTCTCTAATTGGACGAAAACTTAATTAACTTCTAAAATTACTTATTAAAACAGTGTTGACATTGATTATAGCAGTAATACTTTTACATCACTGTCGTAAAATAGTAGTAATGATAGCATCGTCATCCATTAAAAATGATAAATGATAATTGTAAGCAGCAATAATAATGATTATATAATAATTTAAACGCTATGTTATATTTCACATAATTATTTCAATAAAATTTTGCAAAGAAAATTCATTCAAACTTTAAAAAATGTTTAAAATATTTCATGTATTTTACAGAAAACTTTGCATAATACTTTAATTTAGCTTTATAATTTAACTATGACAAAAATATTTACATCTATGTTTGATCGATATTTATTATGCATCATTGAAAGAGCTTCTAATTAATAAGAATGCTATTTTAATTAGTGATGCAAGATAATAATTGCATCAATAAAATGCTGAAATGGTAAGTAACTATTGAATAAAATTTCATTGAGAATAATGGTTTTAGAAAATTGCTTGCAACATTTAAGAAAATAAATATGAATGAGAAGAAATTCTGAACAACTATCATTCAATCATATAAAATTTCATTCAAAATCCTACGATTAAATTTTTACTTTGATATATTTTAATTTCAAAAAATTCGCATTATTAAATTTGCATTATGTAGACTTAGTTTTTTCACATTATATATTAAGACTTAGTCTTTTTTAAAAAAGGGAAAAAAAAATTTTTTAAATTAAAAAAATAAAGCAAGAAAAAACAAATTCGAAAATAAAACAAATTTTGTTATTCTCATAATAATGAGAATAAAAAAGTGAAGAATATGAATTCTCATCAAATATTTCGTTTTGCATTTTTCTTTTCCCATTAATCAATTCAATTTCAAACAAAATGTATTAAACGTTAAAATTAATAAATGTTGGAAATATTGCGTCAAATTCTTATTGGAAATACAATTTTGAATGCTTTATAAAGCAATAAAAATAAGCCAATTTAGTTCATGAAAGAAGAAAAATCTTTTTTAGAGAAGAAAAAGACATAAAAGATTAATTTCCGGCAATAACAAAAATGAAAATTTCAACATTATTTTCTGAAAATTTCTCATTTCTTCGACTGTCATTAACTTTAAATTAAAACAAGAAATAGTAATGCTGTATTATTATATCATATCGTTATGTAATACTTAAGTGAAAAATTAATTTCGACTGTTTACTGCATATTAAAGTGGAAAAAGTAAGGAATAATATTAAATTGGAAAGTTTCATAAATTTAAAATAGAATTTCATAAATTCAAAATGTACTATACATGGATAGCATGGAATTAAACTTTACAAATTTTAAGAAGTAAATTAAATTTCGTAAGTTCCAAAAAGTATGCACCATGTATGTATAACGTAAAACTATTCCATAAAGTAATCTATTAAAGATATCAATTATTGATATTATGCCTAAATGAATATTGTAAATTTGAAAGTATTGTTGCACAAAACAGTCTTTTAGATCTACAAAAATAGAAATATATTTAACAGAAGATTTCACTTTAATTTCCAGAAAAAAACTTGTAAAATTATTTTAAAAAAATTTCTTTTCCTAATTTATTGAAAGAATTATCTGAAATTTTGAAAAAAAAAGTTTTTTTTTAAAAAAAATAAACACATACCAAATTAAGAGAGAAATCTTTGCCCTTAAAGCGAATTAAAGCACCGTTTTGAGTAAGTTTAATTATGCATTCCGTAAATGATCCATTACGATTTTTGACGACACCTTCGTTTACTTCAAAAATTTGCGTTATAAACGCTGGAATGATGGTTGATTGCATAGATGATGACGTAGGGGTAGGGTCACGTGTAGTGATGCACCTTGACATCTCATAACTACCTTTGATCATCCTATAGAATCGATCACAGTCATCAACCGAGACTACATTAATACCGTATGTTTCACCACGATAATGCCAATAAGCAAAACAAGATGATACACGAGTGATACGACTTGCTGCAACGTATTTAAACAATTTTAAAAATAGTAATAGTATTAATAGTACTAACAATAATACTAATAGTAATAATAAAATCATAAAAATAATTTTTCGTTTTAAATGAAAAATTTCAACCCAACCACATTCCGATTGCATTTTTGAGTATCTTTTTCAGTTACCTTATTTCTAAATTATAAAAATGCAAATTATTACTATATAACTAATCGGAATAAAATCGCTATTGTTTTATTTTAAATGAAATATTTTTTTTCTAATTTAAATTTTTGTCAAATTCAAGTGGGCAAGTTAAAGACATACTCAAAATATTTTATTATTACTATTACTACTGTTATTTATCTACTTATTTATTACTAATAATTGTTATTAATTGTCATTCAATATTATTATTGTCATTGTTGTCATTATTATTATCATTATTATTGTTATTACTATTAATTATTATTATTGGTAACTGTAATAAACATAAGAGAAGTATCGGACAGTACAAATTTTAAATGACACTTTGCACTTATTATTTAAGCTAATTTTTCTTATGCTTTTAAAGCCATAAATACCTTTTTATATTGCATGCATGCACAAGCAAATTTATATTTTCAGGATTTGGAAATATTTGAAAAGTACTGCAAGTAAATAGTAAGTATATACTTAAGCATATGTACAGTTTATTCTATCATTTTAAATCGATTAGGTGTACTCACATATTTAGCACCTTTCCAGCTTAGGAAGATTGTATGATTGAAAGATCAAAAGAAGAAAATTAACTTTAAAAATGAAATAGCTTAACATTAGACCTTTTTAAGAGTTATCTCGTCATATATGAAAGATTTTAATAAAGATAAATAAGTAAACACATACAAAGTAATTGCATAAAAAGAGATTAAAGTAAAAGAAAAGCAAAATTAAACTTCTATGATTTTGAAAAACATACTTAAATTATCAATAATTCCATCTTCTATTTAATCGATCAATTTTGTTAATTTTTTTCAAAAGATGAAAGAAAAATCGTTTTCTAAACAAGTTTATGCATTTATTTATTTTTTTGATAATATATTTATATACGAATTATTAAATTACCGAATATTAAATTTAAACCCGCCCAAAAAATAAAAAAAAAAACAAATAAATGGAAAGTTTATTTGAAAAATAACAATTTTATGACTATCTCATTAAAAATGCATTTAACCATTCCTTTTTTATTCGTTTTATTTTTGCTTTTTACATACTTCACTTTTCTGTTATTTACTCTCAATTTTATTCATCATTTATATTTGTAAAATAAAAAATTTTCAAAAAAAAAAAAAAAAAAACTCTGAATTTTACAAGTTATGAATGAGTGATATAAAACTGTCACTGAAATATATTTTATTGAAATATTTCAAACTACAAATCAATTTTCCTCAAATAACGATTTGCCATCACTCTTAATGAAATGGGAAACATAAGATGGATGAATTTCATTTTGCTTCCATAAATTATCCCTTCATTAATTAGTTAAACTTACCCTCTATCAAAATACTTATTAACAGATGGGATGTGTAAACAAATGTATTCAAATATATTACTGCAAATTACGCACTATCATATTTTCAAAAATGTTTCAACCTGACCCAATATTAGATATTAAAGAATGTTTTCTCATAAAAACAAAGAAAATGGCATTTGAAATTGTTTGAAAATTGCTCCATAAATAACAAATAATTACAAAATAATGAATCAGCTAATTCGATAAAAAATGATTATATGCTTCAAAATCTTTTAAAATTCTCTTTTAGGAAAATTACGTATTTGTTATTCATTTAAAAGTATCAATTTATTTTGTGGTGTGATTTTAATAAGTTTAAATGCATATTCGAGCAATATTTTCAGCAGTTTGCATTGAAATTAATTGGCCAATTTTAATCAAATAAGGTTTTTATTAATTAAATCTTTATTCTTTAAGTCTTAATTAGCTATACAATTAATTATTTTTGATCTTATTCCCTTTCAATGCAAAAAAAAAAAAGAAAAAAATGAATTATAAAAATTAAACTTTTAATACTTACATGGATCAAGAATTTGCTCATCAACAATTCCGGATTCATTTTTGATAAGCAATCGAATAGCTTTACAATTGACATCATGTTTTCGGGATGGCATTTCAATAACCGTAATGGATAGCAATGATGGATACAACATATTCCATTGGGTACGATCCGATGAAAGCCGGAATAATTCAGCCCAAAATCTATCAATAATCATTTGGTTCGAAATATGCGAAAGCAGTAACAAAAATTTGAATTTATGGAAAACCTGGAATATTCCAGAGAAAAAAAAAAGCAAATTTCAGTTAATAGGAAAAAACAAAAAAAAAAAAAACAAAAACAAAAACGGTTCGAGTCGAAAAGAAATTACCTAAATATCTTTTTCCCCCCCAAAAAAAAAATATATATTTGACTTTTGAATTAACCTTCGAAGATTTTCAAAATATCAAATTGAATCCAAAAAAAGAAAAAAAAGAGAGAGAGAGAGAGATGCATTGGATAGAGTATATTTAACAATAACAAACAATTATGTATAACGACTAAAACGTTTATCAATTCCTAATTAAATTGAAAATGTATCATTTAAGAATTACTTCAACGTACCCATCTTTCTTCCTTATCTTTACCTTACTTCTATTTCTCTCCTCTCTCTCTCTCTCTTTCCTAATTTCTTTCTCTTTACTACTATGACAATCAGTTTTTCTTTTTCTTTATCTAAAAATTTAAGTTTTAAATCAAAAATAACAAATAGAACTTATTGTTGCTGCAAAGACAAATAAATGAACTGCAAAAGCTTTTTTTTTTTTTTTTTGAGGAAGTTATAAGCTTAGTAAATACGTACACGCACGTGCACATACACATACATACGTGCACATACACATACATACGTGCACATACACATACATACGTGCACATACACATACACAGATACATGCACATGCACACACACATATAAAGTACATAACATAACATACACCTAACCTACACTTACATATATACACGTACACAGAAATATGAATATACACATACACAGCCATAATTCACGAATGCATACACACATGCATACACAGACACACATACACAGATAGTTACGACGTGAACAGACACTTGCAGATAGCAATAACATCAACTGTCAGCCAGCGAAATGAGTCTACTGGGAAAGGTTTCAGGATGGAAAGTAGGCGGCCGAGAAGGGAAGACGGAATGAGGCAAAGGACGTCGAACTGCTGCTCGAACACATTTTAGCAGTTCCGTTCTCATTCTAAGCTTATTCATCTCTTCTCATCATATTATGGCCTCTCTCTCCTTCCTTTCTCTCTTTTCCCTTTTTGAATTTCAATAGACAGAAGAATATTATATTTAAAATATTAAAGAGTAATCAGATGGAATTTAAAATAAAAAAATTCTTTATCAGTTCTGAACGTTTATTTATTATATTCTAAGACTTTACATATAATTATACACTACTACAAAGATAGCGGAAAGATGAAAAGATAAGATCAGGGTTTTATATAAATATATCAAATTTAGTATGCATATTAAGTGATATGACGTGTGATAATGATAAGCACCGATAAGCTTAATTGATGAAAAGGTTACTTCTGTGATGCATGCATGAGAAATGATAAGGGATGTAGTTAATGTAGTATGAAATTCTCATTTGATAGCAAAGTTAATTAAATTAGAACAGATTGTTACGAACGCTATTTCAATTTCAATTCTAACATACTGTTGGTTTTCAGTAAAAGCTCGGTGCAAAGGAAAATAATGAAGTTAATCAAGTTTGATTGCTAAAATGTTGAAAGAATGATCATTGGATGTGAAATTGTGACATCAAATAATATGATATGACAAATATATTATTTATTTGCTATTATTATTAATAGCATTATTATTTTGTTTATGTTTATCTAATTACTTTATTGACTATTTATTATTTTTAGTGATAGTTTTTGGCCAATATGTCAAAATTGTTTTTCTTTAATTAAAGCAAAGTAAAAATTTTTAAATTAAAACTTTTCAAAAATTGTGAATTTCAGTTGCAATTAAAACAAAAAGAGTAATAAAAAAATTAAGGAAAGAAAAAATAATTTAATTGCTAATAAAGCTAACAAAAAATTTACCTACTGCTGGAAAAATGTCGAAAAAACAAACAAACAAAAAACAAAAAAAAAAAAAAATCCATTTGCAATGTCGCATTTAAAACGGTTTTATAATAGAAAGACGAATGAAATCAACCATAAAATATAGTGATAATAAATGGGGCAGAAAAAAAAAGTTTAAAGGGAAAGTATAAGTGACAGGTATGATGTCCTTTCAAACAATCAACCAATCAATTTGAATGATTTTTTTTGTGTTGTCACTAAGGTGACGAATGTGACAATGAGACATGACAGAAATGTCGAAAATTTTTCAAAATAAATAAATGCTATTCTCAAGCAATACAAAAAATGCATTTCTTTACCTAATAATTTGAAAGTTAAAGGTTAGTTCTTTTCTTTTCTTATAAACTTATTTTTCATTTGATAAAATGTAATACTTGAATGATACATACATATTGTGTTATGATAATATATCATAAATACCTATTATATACGATGAGAATGTCACAAATATCTATCACATATCATGATAATATCATAATTATTTTTTTGTACTACGATAAGATCACGAATATCTATTGTATACTATGATAACATCATAAATATCTATCATATACTACGATAACTTTATAAATATTTATCATATCATGATACTATCATATAGTTGGAAATAAATTATTTAAGTGCAATTTAATATGAGTTGAGAACAATAATGCGTGCAAGAATGATAAGAGTACAGTGATTTATAAAATGTCAACTGTCACCTTTTTTGAACAAGTTGAATTAGTACAAATGATGTGACATTCAAATTTATTTCACTTTCAAATTTCTATTTATTTTGAAGAAAATTTTCAGAAGAAAAACGAGAAGAAATCCATTTGTTGCTAAGAAAAAAAAAAGAAAAGTGTTAAAAAAGAAATCAAACTGTTGGGAAGAAAATTTTCAAATTCAATTAACTTAAATAATATATAATAATGAAATACACGAATGCATGCATGCATAAATGAATGCATTCATGCATGCATACACAAATTAAATACAAAATGTGAAAGAAAGGAAAAAAAACAATTGAAAGACCAACCTGAATTGTGTTATTGTTTGATGTTCAGCAGCTATTGTTGTTGCTGCTATGATATGATTAGGCTCTATCATATTATCAGTAAAGCAATAATGACGTATTTCACAGGGACATGATAACGAACTTCCCATATTCCTGAATAGTAATTGTGGCGCTTTTCATTTTCCCTTTTCAATAGGATTGTAGCGCTTCTTATTTTCCTTCTTCCCTCTTTTTTCTTTGTCTTTTTTTTTTTCAAAAAAAGAAAGAGCTTAGAGAAAATAAATGTGAAAAAAAAAAGAAAAAAAAAAAGAGGATATAAGGCTAAATAATAACAAAACAATCTCAAACCTTAAACTTCTGGCAAAAGCGACAAGAGTAGAAAGCCTAAGTGTAGATGGAATGAGTGTGTTATAATGCTAAGCTTTTCATATCTATTTTGTCATCATTGATTCTTAAGCTTTTTCTTCTTCTTCCTTCTTATTTGTCTTATCAAACTAATGAAACATGGATTTTGAGTAACAGTAAAATATGTGTTGTAAAATATATTATCAACTAAGTGTATTTGTTTTATATAAAAATAGCCAAAATAGCTTATATAAAAAGAGCCAAGTTAATTATGATCAAGATGGATTGATAGTTTAGCTAGGATCAAGATAGATGATAGTTTAGTTAGAATCAAGATAAATTGATAATTTACTTAGATCAAGATGGATTGATAGTTTAGTTAGGATCAAGATAGATTGATAATTTAGTAAAGAGTGATAGAAAAAAGATTATAAAAATGAAAAGCAGAAGAAGCTATAATAATAGTAATAGTAGTAGTAGTAGTGCTGGTAGGATTTAGTAGAAATGGTAGGCCAACCCAAAATTCATATGTTGCGTCCAATGAGAGAGATGAAATGAAATGAAATATGAAATGAATGAATATGCCAACACCGACTTAAGTCTTTACAAACTCTGTCTCATTCATATAAGCCTTTAGTTTCAGGCTTCATACTTCATCTCATATGCATTAAGCACAATATATAGACTATTGATACTTAAAAAATTAATAAATAAAAAAAAAAATCCGAGAATATTCGTTGCGGAAACATAAAAGACTTCACTTAAACAATTAAAATGAATGAGCAACGAATTAGACTATATAATGGATTCTTCCTCAAAAGATATAAACATTCATATTTTCTCTAAAGTATTTCTTATAATACTCGCAACGAAGTAAGCAAAAGGTCAAATAAGAAAATCGATTGGTACTGATCACAGATTCATTACGAAGTAAGCAAAAGGTCAAATAAGAAAATCGATTGGTACTGATCACAGATTCATTCCACACGAAAATATATTCCGAAATGAAAATTATCGAAAAGAACAGGATTGAAAAGAATGAAAAATTACGAAAACTGAAAAATAATATTAATATATATGTATGCTTTATGTAGTATACTTCAAGTAATATCATAGAAAATCAGAATTATAATAAAAATTGATGATATCAGGACATTCCGGTCTACATTCCGGTCTATATTCATTTCTTTGTTTGCTTTCTTACTTATTCATAATTTCAAACTGTTAACCTTTGATCTTTCTTTTATAGCACTAATTTATTGCATAATGTTTAAATTATTCACAAAAAGAAAAAGCTGAATATTGAAAAGTCAATTCGATTAATTAAATGTTGGTGCGAGTGGAAATTTTATAGACTAAAAACTGATATTGATTAGATTAAATAGGAATATTTTATCAGTACAAGTCTGGATATGTAAATGTCTCTGTCATCAAAATTATAACAATAACATCGATTAAATGATTGTAATTATTATTGATAAGTATTTTTCGATGATAAAATATTAAGAAATAAATTATTGCAATTATTTATCAACGAATAACGAATTTCTTTTTTTATTTCAAAAATTTGGAAAAAAACTGAAAAGCATAAGGTTGATTCAAGATTGAACTTATGATAATCTATTTAAGCATTATAATTAGCTTAAAAGGAATAAATTATTTTTTTAAATTGTAATCAAGTGCTATAAAAGGTAAAATCAATTTTTTATT